TGGTGGGGTGCCAGTGAAAGGTGGCAACAGTCTGTAGGACACCCCCCTCCAGGCTGCTTCCTGTCCACAAGGGGCTTGCAGGGGAAAAAAGACGCCAGGTGGACTGGCTGGTGTTGGGAGGGGGAGGCTGAACTAGCTGGATGTTCTTCTACATCTCCCCTTCTTCCCCCGGTCAGGACCCAGGAGGCACAGAGAGACCTTGAGGAGCAGGAGAGCTCTCATGATGGGGATGCCTCTTGTACCTCAGGGGTAAGAAAGGTTTGGCAACGTGGCTGCTGGGACTTCATGCCTCAAGTCCAGGGGGGTGGTTCCTGGGTCCTTTAGACATCCGATCCCCCTGGCCGGCCATCTGGAAGGGCATCTGAGCTGCCAGAAGTCAGGTCACAGCTGATGGAGGGACATCCAGTGATGAAAGGGTGATCGAGGAAGGGGCTGAGTGCCTAAGCGTCCCTCTTTTCCTGACCCCGTCCAAGGCAAGAGGCAAAAGGAGAGAGGGATGCGTCTTCCAAATGCCTGAAGAGTCTTTGGGAAAAGGTTGCCAAACGCCTGACCTTGGGCATAGCCTGTTTTGAGAACAGCTGCTCCTTATTCTGGAAGCAATGTCCCCTTAATGTTAAGGCTTCCGAAGGCGCTCTTGCTAGGGCGCTGAACCTTGTGCCCTAGGCCTTAGCAATCCTACTGGGATGCAGAGAGCTTTGGATTTATGTCTTAATAGATGTCATTTGTAGGATTCAATGGAAGGCCAGGGAACCTCCAGGACCCACAGCCTGGAAGATGTGGAGATCGTTCCCGATTGGACAAGGTATCTGCTCTCATCTAAGGGATTCTGCAGCCCCCAGGAAGATGGCTGTGGTAGCGTCTCGACTTAAAAAGGGCATGGGAAACGTCCACACAGAGGAGGGATAGATTTCTGTTGGATGCATGGTCAGCCCCCTGGACAGAGAGCTTCTTTCTCTTCTCCTTAATCAATGGGATGGGGGGGCCATTTGGGGCCAAAGGGGGAGCAGATGGTGAAGGCCCCTGAGCATGGAGCGCATGCTTAAAGCACAGTAAAGTAAGCAAGCTGCGGATAAGATAAAATGACACAGCACAAAAGGAAAAGGGAGAAGTGAGAAAAGGAAAACAAAATCCCTTCATCGAATCCTCCATCCCAGCCAGTCGCAAGGGCTACTGCTTGGCTGACTGGGGAGAGGCCTAAGACTCTGAGTCATCTTCTTAGGGAGATTCACCTCCTTTCCTTCTCCACCCTGCTTCTGATAAAAGGGAGAAAACTCAGGTCAAGGCCCTTTGCCTGCCAGCTGACATGCTTCCTAGAGCATGTTTGTGGCTACTCTTGTAAGAGGACCCATGGCTAGTTTTGACGTTTGGGCCTTTTAATCTCTCCCCAGTTCTCAGGAAACGGAGCTGCAGAGGCAGGGGCTCCACACGATAGAGGAGGTCTCCGTTCGGTAAGTCATGAGCAGCTGGGAAGGGCCCTTTGCTGCTGACCAGCGGCCTAAATGGATGTGACCCCTTCTCCATGCCTTTCCTTTTTCGGCTTCATCCTCTCCGCCACCCTGCTGCTTCCAGGGTTTGTGCTGGTGTTTGTGAATCTCAATGGCACAGCTTCAATAAAAAAAAAGAGGAGAGTCTAAAAATCAACAAAACCTGGCTACCAATCCTGAAAAATCCACCCTGCAAAAGGTCAACGAACTCAGCTCAACCACCAGGACGTGTGAGCAGCTCACACAACGAACATACTAATCCCCCCCAGCAGCCACTCGTTAACAACTCAATAGAAGAAAAAACCCTGCCTAATCCCCAGGAAGATACACAC